TTCCCTAAGTGATGGCCTGTTAGTGTCATGGTAGCTCCCAAGTTGAGGAAACACTTATGGCAGTCTTATTGACTGAGCCTAAATAACTTGCTAGGCAGAAAGAAGGGTTACTTATGGTTTGGGTTTTTTTCCCTTAAAAAACCAAACAAAAGGTACCATTATTGACAAAACTCCTAAAAGCTTCTGTAAATACCCAGAAGGTAAACTTGGCTACATACTTTTCAAACAGTCCCTTTTCACATCTTACCCAGCTGGCATACTAGAAAATCAATTGCATCACAAAGTGTAAAGTATTTTTTTACAGACTGACATCTCGAAAGCCATGTCTATTTAATATAAATTCTCAGGAAAAATAATAGTCATAAATTCTACTAGAAAGTTCCAGTGAATATTCAAAAATTCAAACCATATGTGTTTGCTAGACATCTAGCTACTGCTTTTGGGGATTTTGGTGGTTCTGGTTTTTATTTTTGTATCATCAGACTTTTGTCTGATGGGGGCTCATTTGCTACCGTTTAGAAAAATAACCCAGAAATGTACCAAGAGTTGGTACTCCTGTGTTTTGCCATTGAGAAGAGCTCAACTCTCTTTCGTGTATTAACTTCCTCATCTGAGAATATGGCCTTCCTTACTTAAATTAGCTGATCCCCTTTTTTTGACCCTGTTAAATTAGAAACCAATTAGACATTTGTAATCCAATATGTTGTAATTGCTTAGATTTGTTGGTCTTTTATTTGTCAAACTGGTATAACAGGCAATGCAATTAACGGGAAAAATTCTGCTCCCCTGCTATTTTCTCAATGTATATTATTTCATACTTAGTACAGTAAGAATTCAAAGAAGTGGCAGAATAATAGATTTGTGGCATTGTAGACTATTAGGGAGCTATTCATCCTTTCAGATTTGAATTCCCTGTGTAGCGGTCCTAAGCAATAGGACTAGTCTACACACTGGAGAATCTGACTTGTGGTGCCAAGGAAATTTATAAGATTATACTGTATGAAATTTAGCATAGTAAGAATTCCACAATCCTCCCTTGAATCATTATTATGCACTCTGTTAATAATACATGTGGAATTTTGAAGCCATTTGGCCATTTCTGTGTGCACAGGAAAACGGAAACATTATGCTCTATCACCCAGGTGCCCTGCTGACTTCACTGGCAGCTGGAAGAAGCTGCTGACTTCTATAGGAGTTCAACATTTATCAAAATAGATAACATGCTTTTCAATCCGTATATGTAACTTTCAATTTTTTTTTTTAGATGGAAGCAGACTGATATAAAATTGAGTGGCTGCCAGAAGGATCAGCTTGCAGGCAGCACCGGGTTGCAGCTGAGTGAGGGAGACAGGATAAGATCATGTGGGGGTGTGTGTGTGTGTAATCTTACTAAGGCCCTCCCCACGCTTGAAGATTTGGTCTGTTTTCATAAGTGAAGTTTTTCCTTGTATGTAACCTACTTCCTAGATGGCAAAGCTCTGTAGAATATTTTGGTTTTAGTTTTGTTTTAGAGGAAGGTGATATATCCTGTTCTGCTTGATCATGTACTACGGATCATGATTCACTTGTGCAGCTCTTTGGGGCTGTCTGGCCAGTTTAGCAGCTATAGCAACATATGTAAGATGGCATTAGGAACTGATATTGCATACACTGACTTGTCAGTTGTTTGCTGTCATTCCTTAAGTTCATGTTGCAATACTCTACAGAATGGTAGAAGTTAAATCCTATTGCTTCTGGGTTAACTGCTTGTGCAATATGTTTCTAGTCACTCTCAGTTTTGCAGTTTGTTTCTTACCAAAACTGTATCATTCTCCTTCTTACTAAGGAGGACTGAACTTTCTTCAGCTTTCCGGGACCCCCTACGTCAGCATCAGCCTTTCTGAGTGTGGAATAATTAAGGAAAGTATAAACCAAAAAAGTTGTGCCTCCCCAAATACTATGTTTTCCAAATCTGGAAGGAAGATGGTGGTATTTATATCAACACTTCCTTTTTGTGTCGTGGAGACACTTGTGGATACTGGGGATGTTTTCAAAAGAGTTAGGAATCTACTAGTATATGACTTGGGAATACAGCTTCAAGAAACTGGAAAAAAAAAATTAAAAGGTATGCAATACAAAAGTAAAGTCTTCTTTCCTTAAGTCGGAGGAAGACAATGAAGGAGTAACAATTTTATGAGTGAAGGAGATGAATGGAGTAGCTTTTTATGAGTGACTGAGTATGGTAGGATTCTTCAGTGTGGAAAGAGGTAGCATGGGGGCATATGATGGAACCTGCAATATCAGGAGTGGCGTGGTAGATGTACAGTCTTTTCTATACAAAAACTATGGGACATCGAATGAAGCTAGTAGGAGCCAAAAAACCAAAAGGGAGGGTCCTTGTTTATGAACCTGTTGGAAATTTCTTGGCAGTGAGCGTTAAAGTTTACCTGGATTCAAGAAAACACTGAATAAGGTAATGGAAGAGAGATGTCTTGGAAGGCTGAATACACAGAAATGCCATCTAGATGAGGAAGTCCCCATCCCCATAGCTAAAAGTGGTTGGAGCTTGAGAAAGTATTGGGAGGTGTAACATGTTTGCTACGGTCTTAGTCTTCCATAGATGCTTGCTTACGTCCAGTGTGGGTTGGATGACCCTTTGGCAGACCCAGTAGGGTCACTCTTATGTTCTGTGCATCCTTGCTTCTTGGGACTGAATACCTTGCTGGTTGTGCAGGTGGACATGGACAAATCAATCCATTCACAAGGGTCAAACTGGAAATAAATTATTTTAAATTGAAGATGTACTTTTTGTTCTGTATAAAGATGCCTCTTTAGGACTGAATCCCTACACCCTACAGCTAAAACCAGCACCTGAGTCGCACTCTGCTTTGGTACCTGTTATCCAGGGGAGTAATGTGTGTTTGGGAGCACTGGAGCTTGGCAGCCTCTGGTGCCATTTACGCAGTCTCTGCTCATTGTCCTTCTGAGCTTAATGCCATAATAGTCACTTCTGGATATCATAATAGATAATCTGAATGCATCCTCCAGGAGTCTAGCTCCCTAACCCTGCGGCGTTTGATTTGTTACTCATTCAGTAATAAGTTTCTAAAAGCATTTCACTTTCTAAAGGTGAAGCATTTGACAATTGCTCACTTCAAAGGCTGTTAGGTGCTAGGTTCTTTTGCAAATCCCAGAAGGCAATGTTCTTCATTGTTAAGCGGCTAAAGTATGCTTCAAAACCTGATGATCCTGAAGAAGTTGATGTTGCATCTGATCCTGTGCTTCAGACAGAAATAACTTTGTTTTAAATGAAAATGGAAATTTTAAACAGGGAGAGCAGTATTAGACCGGTGTGACTCTATGCTATATTTTTAACGAAGTAATTTTTTCCCCCTTTTTGGACACTTAACAGTCATAAATAAATTTAGTCATGTACACTTACAAAATGACAAGGAGATGACTGATATCCATCTCAATATATGCTCAAGATTTGTATGGTACTAAATTGCTGGAACTACCTGTGCTGCTGCTGCTAATGATCTACTGTCTAGAAACTACAGACTTATTATTATAGCAGGAGTTATTCCGTAAAAGTGATTCATGTCACAGGATGCCATTTTGTAATTTTCTCCCATTGGCTTGGATTTCATCTCCATGCTCTCCTGGCAGTATTTTACTTTTCCTGACAGATAGTTAATTTAAGAATTTCACAGCTGTACAAACAAATTCCAAGCATCAAGGCATGTGCAGTGTGCACAAAGCCCAAATTTTCCTGGACTTGGTTTATTAAGCCCACTAATTAAGATTTTTAAAT